GCTGCTAACGGCTCTTTATAAAAGGAGGCGCATACTCACTCTAGATTACATCGAGAGTAAGTGTCAAGTGTAACTAGATCAATTAAAAGTGTCAAGATGCGCATGACAGCTTTATTCCAGATTCTTGTCCTCTTCGTTGCAATTTTGGGATTGGGTAAGATTTTGTGTTTCGGCAATGTTTTTTTCAACCTATACGTTTACATAACCAACGCATTTTTTCTTAAATTGTAACTATTTCTTTAAAATGTTACTTAAAAGTTAATGGCATTGATTGTTAAAGGTTACTGGAATGCTGTCACGATAACTTGAACGATAAAAGTGAAGCCCTTTCAATTCGCTAGTTCTCACATTTCATAATATCTTTGAATGTGATTGCATTCTTAAAAATCATTTTTAAAATTGCCTGATAATTTCAGTAAAAAAGTACTTGCTTTATTTCGTAATTCCTTTTAGTTTTCGAATATAAACACTGTTAAAATAAAGTATGGTTTATTTTTTTTAATTTTTCATAAGAAATAAATTTTGTTTTCTTTTAAAAAAATAGAGGTTACAGAATATTCTGAAATTTTAATTTAAGAATGGTATTTATATTTTTAAATGATTTAAAGTGTTTAAATGATTATAATTGTATCTACTACCGAAATTTCTATTCAATTTCGCAGCCGCAACTTAAGCTTCCATGTAATTATTTTGATTAATATGATTTTTAAATTGCTTATTTTCAGGAATTTCAGCAGTCTTTTTTTTATTTCGCTTTCGTATCTAAAAAAAACATATATGTATATATTTTTTTTTGAACTTTCGAGATTTCTGGATTATAAAGTACGTGCTTGGAAAAAGTTTGCAAAATTTCTATCGTATGTTGATATCAGTTGTATTATTTTTAATACCTAACAAAATATAATTTCTTTTTTTGTTTTAGCTTCAGCATGTGAGTATTACATTCTTTTACAGAAATAAACAAAAATGTATTTTATAATTGTTGTTTAATAAAATCGTTTTAACTAATAAAATTTATAAAATATTGTTACAAATGGATTATTTAACTAAAAATGGCAGATATAAGTACCAAACAAAATTAGTCCAAATTTACTCAGTAGAGAATTTCTCCTATTTCAATTTTCAAATTTAGCAATCACTAATAGAAGGTTTTGAAATTGCTAGCATTTTTTTTAAATATCAAAATAATTTATGCAACAAAGCATGCTTAAATTTGAAATATTCTTTTTCTTTCAAATATAGATTTTTTTCACGTGATTATAAAACTCTAAAAGAACATTTGATTTTATGTATTAATAAAAATCAAAGTTTGATAACACAAAATTTTTATTTGATTCGAAAACTTAAAACATTAAAAAGTTGAAAAATGTCCAGCGCTCAATAATAGCACCCATTCTTAAGACATATTAGGCGTAAATGAGCAAAACAAAATGAATTTGAAAAAGAAAACGTGATGTTGCCAGCGAAAAATGTAATAGAAGTGAAAATCAAATCTAGAAAAAGCTTGGTTACCGAAAGTTAAATCAATGCTGGTTTTATTTTTAAAATTACATTGAATATCTTTCAAATAACGAGGCATATGATAAATTTAAGTTGTCATTAAGTTGGCGAGAGGAAAACAATAAGAAATGTAATTTGAAACACATAGTAATATACTTTTAAGAATGTTATAAATANTGGAAAAAGTTTAAAAAATTTCTATCGTATTTTGATATCAGCTGTATTATTTTTAATATCTAACATAATCTAATTTCTTTTTCTATTTTAGCTTCAGCATGTAAGTATTACATTCCTTTAAAGAAATCAATGAAAATGTATTTCATGATTGTGTTTTAATAAAATCGTTTTAACTAATAAAATTCACAAAATATTGTTACAAATGGATTATTTAACTGAATATGGTAATTATAAGTACCAAACAAAATTAATCTAAATTTACTCAGTAGAGAATTTCTCCTATTTCAATTCTCAAATTTAGCAATCACTAATAGAAGTTTTTGAAATTTCTAGCATTTTTTTTTAAATATCAAAATCATTTATGGAACAAAGCATGTTTAAATGTAAAATATTCTTTTTCTTATAAATATAGATTTTTTTCACGTGATTAAGACTTTGAAAGAACATTTGATTTTATGTATTAATAAAAATCAAAGTTTGATAACACAAAATTCTTATTTGATTCGAAAACTAAAAACATTAAAAAGTTGAAAAATTTCCAGCGCTCAATAATAGCACCCATTCTTTAGACATATTAGGCGTAAATGAGCAAAACAAAATGAATTTGTGAAAGAAAACGTAATGTTGCTAACGAAAAATGTAATAGAAGTGAAAATCAAATCTAGAAAAAGAGTGGTTACCGAAAGTTAAATCAATGCTGGCTTTATTTTTAAAATTACATTGAATATCTTTCAAATAACGAGGCATATGATAAATTTAAGTTGTCATTAAGTTGGCGAGAGGAAAGCAATAAGAAATGTAATTTGAAACACATAGTAATATACTTTTAAGAATGTTATAAATACATGTGACGTCGCAAAGTTTATAATATTTTTCTTAAAAGTTTTACTTTACCTTTGGCTCTCACATACTCATAATTTGTACAAAAATATATATGCATATTTATTGCACTGTTATTTGAAGGGAGTGCTTTTTCTACAAGTCTTTATTTTCCTATTTCAGTCCAGCATGGTAAATAAAAAATATTATCAAATTTTTTATTTTTGAATATACATCTTTTGGATTTTTTTATACACAGTAAAAAAGGGTTACTTAAAATTGAGCAAAAATATGTCTATATATCTCCGAAATAAGTATAGTTGAATTTAAAAATATCATGTATATTCATCATTTTCATGTACAGTGACATGCTTAAAATGGCATATAGTAATTTTTTAGCCAAATGCATAGCCTCAAAAGTATCACATCTTGTACTCATTTTAAGTAGTTTATTGAAATGAGAGTGGGCATAGTCTCAAAAATGAGTGCTTGCTGTTTTGAAAATATCGTTATACCCAATAAAGAGTGCATAGGTTTTTCATATTTGATTAAATTTGTTTCAGAGCCATTTTGACAGCTTTTTTTCGCAATTTTGAGAAACTCTTTTTTTTACAGTGCACTGCAAAAGATTCCGGATGAAATTACGATATAAAGTACCGGTACTTTGGGTGCATCTTCCGTAAAATCCATATGATACCATAATTTTTATAGTAATATTTCTTTAGTTAAATTGATTGAATAGTTTTACTGAGCTTATTACTATAAAAATTACGGTATATTAAATTTTTTTTGCTCCCTAACGTGTTACGGTAAAAATCGATTTAAGTTAATAAGTACCACCACCCTGAGTGCCGGTACTTTTCACCTAAATTTGATGTAGAATTTTTTACAGTGTGTATGGAATAAGTTTAAAAAAATCAAAATTCAAGACTTCGTGTTTCAAAATGTAGTTTCTATTACTAATAAGTAACAAGTTTGAGGATTGTAGGAGTTCCTGAAACTCCTCTGAAATCGATTGAAATTTTTTTTAATTCAAATTTTAAGACAATAGCTGTTTACTAAGGCTTAAAAATTTTAATGTAAAAATAAGTGTTGTCTTAGGAAGGGGGATTGCGAGCATAAATGAAGGAAACATTGTTACAAGTCAATCTTCAATCAAATATTTTTGATTTGAATCAATAATGTAAATAACTTGACTGGCACAAGAACATATGCAGTATTATTTTTCTTACAATATTTGAACAATTTTAGATCATTTTCTGACCAATCGCTAATTTATACAATCGTTAAAAGTCTATTATTATGTAACTTTAAAGAGAACTCTATTCTTTAAATTTTAAAATTGAGTTTCTCAAATATAGCAAACTGTTACAAAACACGAAATGTTATAAAACGCGAAATGTTATAAATATTGCTGTTAAAAATAGGTACTTGCAACCAATTGCGTGGTTGTGCGCGGCGTGTCAACACTGCAGCTTTAAAGTTTGGGTTTATTATAACACTGGATCAATTTTCGGGTAAGATTTGATTGATGTCTGTAGCCGCGATGGCTCAGGGGATAGAGCGTTCGCCTTCCAATGCGGCGAACCGGATTCAAATCCCATGCCGGATGCGGTACAAATTCCGCATCCGGCTTGCACCGACCACAGTGCTGCCGTGAAATATCCTCAGTGGTAGATGGATCATGGATTAGAGCTCCCTTGCTGCCGGGCTAACCATTGGAGGTTCTCGTGGTCGTCCTCTCCATGTAACGCAAATGCGGGTTAGCTCCATGAAGAATTCCTCCACGGAGGCAAATTTCTCTCAATACCTGAGCTAAGAGTTCCCTTGTCTTCTGGATTGGGCTCAAAATTACGAGGCTACGGAGTTGAACATTAGTAGTTGTAAACACATAAAATTGTGTCAGCTGTTCAACAATGGTTGTGTATATATATATATCCTTTGGCTCTCACATACTCATAATTTGTACAAAAATATATATGCATATTTATTGCACTGTTATTTGAAGGGAGTGCTTTTTCTACAAGTCTTTATTTTCCTATTTCAGTCCAGCATGGTAAATAAAAAATATTATCAAATTTNTTCCCCCCCCCCTTTTTCATATGTCTGTAATTTTCCTTTGTTTTATCTTCATTTTGAGCTTATATATACATATATATATATATATATATATATATTTATATAAAACGACTTCACGTGCGTGTTGAACCTCATTGGCTGACCCACCCGGGACGTCGCTTCCAAGTTTCTAATTATTGAGGAGATTTAGATATTTTGGTAGAAACTGATCATCATTATCGTCCTCATTTTTTTGAACTATAATTCTTTGAACTATACATTCAAATATAGTTGCCAAAATGAACTATATATTCAAGGTAATTAATCCCGGGAAAAATTCATTACATGAAATTATGTTTTGAACTGAATGGAGACATGATTTTGCATAATATCTTATTAAGAATGCAAAAACTTTGCGAGATATTTTAGTTGAAAGTTAGCCATATTTTTTTTAAAAATTTGATCATTTGAATAAAGGATTAGGACAACATCCGTTTAGTTAATGTTAATTTGCTTAATTTACTCAATTTAATCAATTTAACAAAATTTCTATGCCTTCTACGAAATGGTGTATTTTATCGATTACTATCCTAAATATTTCTGAACAAATTTTCAAATTTTTTGTGAAATAAAAGTTGGGATCACAATATTAAATTATCTTAACAATTAAATGTATGAAAATGTTTTTTCACAAATTTTATGCTTAAAAAATGATTTTGTTTTCAGGAACCCGTAAGTATCTATTTCAAAGCAATCAAAACTAATTTGTATCAATCTAATTAATACAAAAGTCATTAACTAGTGTAGTTTTATAAAAGTAGCAAACTATTCTGGTTTTAAAGCTGTTAGAAAATAAAATTATTTTGTGATTTTTTTCCTACAAAATTGATATCCTCAATTTAAACTTAAACATTTTGAAAATAATGGTTCATTTTTAATCAATAGCGATATATTTAAAAAAAAATAATTAAGTTCTACATGAACTTTTTTTAAAATAACGCATGATATTTTTTACCTACAAAAATTTGTAGAATTGTTAGATCAAAATGGCTTAAAGCTAGTTTCAATTAAAATGATTAAAACAGAGATTTTTTAAACTATTGAAGCAATGAGTTTTCAAAAAAGCAAAATATTGATTCGGGTAGGATTGAAATAAGATAGAATGAAACTACTTCCTACATTCTGTCAATGAAATGGAAATACAATGTCTCCAGAAAAGTTTATTTAAAACTTCCAGTTAAAAGATAATCAAGGATTAAAAAGCAATAAAAACAAATACGTGAACTTTTATAATTCAAGCTTTTGAAAACTAATTTCAGAAAGTTTAAACAAACTAAATAAAAATTACAATTTTTAAAATTATCATAATTGGTTGTAAAATATATAATTACGGACTCAATTATGTAGCTGCTACTTATGATAACAAAAGTTATTAGTAATATACTGAAATGAGATTTTTTTCATAGTACTTAATAGAAAAAGTTAGATTTTCCCAAATTTTTCGAAGAAATTAAAAATATTGCTCTTTTTAATAATTTGTTACGCTTTTGAAATTATAAAATTAATAAAGGCATTAAAATTTACAAACACTTACCCGAAAATATAACAGTTGAAAGATAATTCATTCATTTCGAATATAAACTATTGTATTTACTTATGCTAAATGATATAATGAAATATTGTAAAAATGAATTAATGCGAAATAACTTCACATGACAACAGTTATATTTTTTCCTAAAAAGTGGGATTTAAATGCAATATCAATTAATTCTAAATTGAATAATAAACTTTGAATACTATTATTCATAATTTCAACATAAATAACTTCGAATCTTATTTCAAAGGAAATGATAGGGAATGACAACATAATTGTTTCTGTAACTGCTCATTATCAGTTCTAATTAAGAAATACATCAATAGTAAAATCAGTTAGTTTAAAAAAATGATTTTCTGTAAAAATGTAATAACTAGACCCCGGATTTTGATGACCTAAAAATCTCAATTAATGCCCTTAAAAAGTGCAAAAAATGTCTTTACAAACTGCAAAAAATGCCCTTAAAAGTGCAAAAAATGCCCTTAAAATTCGAAAATTGCGCTAACAATGCNAATATATATATTTTAATTTTTTAGTTTTTACAGAAGGTTTTCGCCGAAAGAGGATGGAAGTTAGTTTATCAAAATAAGTTCTAAGAACATCTCTGAGACTGGAACAAAAATTCAATTTACAAAAAAAAAAGTTCTAACTTATGTATATAAAAGTAAAATAGATAATAAAGAAAATAATTTAGAAATCAAGCATTTTAACGTTTATCCGAGCAGGCGTTTTTTTTATTAAATCGACGAGATTATTATAATTTTAGACAATAAATGTGAATTTTAGTAGTGTTTTTTTATGATAATTTTTCTATAACAGCATTAAATTGAGAAATTTTTCTTGTCATCTATAAAATATCAAGAATTTTCTTCAAGACGGAAGTATAATTGTTTAGATATGAATCTAAAATATAAAAAAATCAAAATTTGTCAATTGCAACTAAATTTTTAGAAAATATCTTCTGCAATTAAACTTATTCGAATGTTTTCACATAGATCAAAAAAGTAAGTCCACATTCTTTAATATTTATTATTTCATTACTGCAAAATTAACGGTCATGTGAGTGATTTTCTGTTAGTTCTATTATTTCCTTTTTACATACATAATTTTTTTTGTTTTAAATAATTGTATATGAAAAGAAATTTCTTCATATTGTATTAACTCTTTGTATTCATATAATTTTTAGCTCACAGTAAGTTTTTATTTTTGAATAAATAAATTCTATTGAAATAAACTAACTGCTTTGAATTTTTATTNGCTTTGAATTTTTATTATATTTGTTTCTCCGAATTACTTTGTGTTTTACATGTTTTCAAAACATTCATTCAAAATATGTATTACATTTTAATACAAATAACTTTTTATATTTATGAAAGAAAATTGAGTTCAATATTATAAGTGAATTTCAAGTAATTAATTAAAAAATCCAACGTCAAATAATAAATCAGAAGATTTAGTTGGAAATCAGAAGTTTCAATTTCAGATTTCGTATTTCATTCGACTGTTCACTGTTTCTTTAAGTGTTCACGGCTTATTGTAACTGTTTACTGTTCTTTTTAATGTTCACTCTTTAGGCTGATCAGAATTTATCTATAAAATAGGCAATAATATCCTTTATTGTTTCGATGTTTGGCAATTAACGTGAAGTATGATTCATTCTTAAATATTAATTACCTTCAGCAATAATTTAATGATGATTCATCAGTAATTCATTATTATTTAAGAAGAAGCGGAATGAATGTATTGTATGAATATCAAGAGTAAAAAAATTGAGTTTGTATTAAAAAAAATTTAGTTTCAAATTAAAAGTATTAGGCAATTACGTTTGCATCATTTCTTTTCAAAATAAAAATACGTTTTATTCCTTTTACACTGGTAAATAATCTTCTATGTTTTATTTTTTAGAACGGGGTAAGATTTTGTTTTTCATTTTCTTACTTATAAATTTCAAATATCAGTGTTCTTGTACAGTATTTTTTAGTTCCCTTAAAATGGCAATCCTTATAGGGAGTTTGGATTGAAATCTCAGTGCTCCATCCTAGTTGCTCTGTAATCAAAATTATGGAGCATTAGAGATAGTTTAATGGTGATATTGTAAAAAGAAACATAGTTTATCAAAACATTTCTTTACTTTAATTAAATCTTTTTATTTAAGTGCTTCTCACTGGAAAGGTTCTTAATTGATAACGTGCTCACAACTTCTCAATAAAAAAAATATTTAATGCTCGAAGAGTCAGCAAAAGCAGAAAGCAAAAAATAATGTAAATAATTAAACAATTTACAAAGAGTAAAGAAAGAATTTCTTTATATCCAGAAGCATTTTTATTTAGTCTTTAAAATGCTCCAGTGTAACTTTTTTAAGACATAATTAAAACACACCAAAGTTCCTAAAACTGCCATGAAATAGAATAGATTTCAAGAGCTGTTTTGTTATTACTCAAATTGTTTTATATGCTATCAAAACATTATATTTTTTTGAATTAGCTTCAATCATATTTTTGATAGCATATGAAAAAGTCTTGTTATATTTTTTGAGGATTTTCTTAAGATTTTATTTCATATAATTTACCTTACTTAATATGAATATGTATAACTATAAATTTTATTTAAACTCCTTAGGTCGATCAGGTAAAATATATGTTTTTTCAATGATATTTTCAGTTGTAAAAGTAAATTACAACAGTTAATAAATGTATAATTATAGTGATTTCTCGTGATTAAATTAGTAACTTATAATTTTATCTAACTTATATAATATATCTCACTTATATAATATTAGTATATCTAACTTACATATATTACATAATAGCGACAAATATTTTCTAACTCTTTACAAAGTTTTATTAACTTTAGTAGCTCTACTCAAACAAGTTGTTACATAAGTTAAATGAGTAAATTTGATTTATCTTTATAAAATTAAGTATATGAAGAAAAATTAGGAAAGACAACTTTACATTATTAAAAACAAATTACTTCTTTGTCTTTTGGGAACATGTTACTATAATAATTTATAAGTAATTATAAATTCATAATGCGAATAATAATTGATTTCAACAAAAAATTTAAAATTGTAACATGTCTCCTACAAATGCCTAAAATTTAAATAAAAATTACAGTGTTACGTAAATTTTTACATATTTAGGGGCAAAATGGCTTTACACGTTATAAAAGATGCAGTGATGTGAGATAATGTGTTTTAAAATTTTTATTATTTATAATTAAATGCTGACCCCTATTGCAATTTTTTAGAGATTATCATAGCTACCAAAGTATAAATTTAAATTATGCAGCATTATTTCATATAACAAATTATTGGGCAGTAATTTATACAACATTTTAAATATACACACGTATGTTTAATTAACATAACATCGAATTATACTCATATTTAAATTATACAACAGAAAAGATTCAAACAAAGGTAAAACTGTAAAAAATTAAAAAAGAACAAAAAAACAAAAAAATAAAACAAATGTAATTAAACATTGTTTGTATCAAAATACTGTTTAATTTCTTTTAAATGATTAGTTCTTAAACATCAAAAATGATATATTTTTAGGTCACCGTAAGTATTTGTTTTATAAATTTGCTTATATCATAAATTTTTCACTCTCAAATTTAATACAGCATTAATTTCTGTTAGATATTTTTATCACTTAAATTTACTAATAATCGCAGAAGTGTATTTATATGATATAATTAGCTTTCCTTTTCTTTAACAAATGCAATTTTCAATAGAAAAAATCAAAATCATGTTAGAAAAGAACTTTGTGAAAAAATTCCAATAAATAAATACATTTTAAAAAATGTCGAGTTCTTATAATTTTTTCTCCTCAGAAACACAACTATCTGAATTGATAAAAATCTAGATATTATAGTTTAAAATTAATTCCTTTTAAAAGTTTCATTAAGTTTTTGTAACTTAATAAACTTCAGCATATAAAAACTTGCTACATGATTGAGGGAAATAGATGTGAAAAAATATCCTTTAGGTATTGAGGAAAAACATATGATCAAAACTACCAGAATATGGCAATATTTAACGTTTTCTGGCTTAGCGGAAGCACAAAAAATAATGCATTTGTTAGCAATGTCTTTTCGGTAATGATCTATGTTAAAATTACAAATTAAATATGGTTTTCTTGCAATGCTGTTTCTTAATAAATTGAGTAAATTAACGAACTACAGAAGCGAACATAAGCAGTATATTTGGAAAACTGACGACTTATTCGTATTCAACTGTGTCTGAACGTTAACCATCTTAAATGAGAGATTCACGCTTTCTCCCATGGCAAAACAAGGGTATGATAGTGGTGGCAATCTCTTTTTCTTTTATGAACAAAGTTATTTATATATATATATCTATATAATATAGAATTTCTCATGCGAGTCTTTCTATATTAACTGATAAGCTAAAAACACATGTTTCTTATCAAGTTTAAGATGTAGAAGTCGGTCTCTCACAAAGAGCCGTAAAAAGTCAAAAGGAACCAGATAAAGCCAGATAAAAGATTATTTTCTGAAGTTAATGGGCAATAATTCTTCGATGAAGTACATATTAAGATAGTCCCAAAAACTTCCCAGAACAAGAACGACTCTATCCTTTTAGCGAATCAAAATCTCTAAATTTTATCAATTGAATGACGTTTCATTGAGATAAGAAGATCCTTGCAACTTCCTCCCCTTTCAGAACCTCCCTATAAAATATCAGGACAGTCAAAAATGCGTGTCTTTTTCATATTCTTCATGGCTAGATAAATCTGGGCCAAAATCCAACATCCCTGCAAGGGGGAAACCATCGATGTAAATATCCCACGAATAATGTTGGCAACACTCCATATAACGCAATTAAATGATTTTTTTAACTGAAATAGATGCGTGGTTGTGAGCGGCGTGTTAACACTTCGCAGCTTTAAAGTTTGGGAATATTATAACAGTGGATCAATTTTCGGGTAAGATTAAACTGATATCTGAAGCCGCGATGGCCCAGGAGATAGAGCGTTCGCCTTCCCATGCTGCGAGCCGGGTTCGAATCCCAGTCTGTAGGAATTTCGTATCCGGCCAAATTTTTATGCCCTCTACGAACTGGTGTATTTTATAGCAGGGCTAAAGAAAATAGAAGGGCTGGTTCACTCCTTTGAAGAAACTCTCGTCGCGTCAATCCTCCGATTTCCTCTAGTGACGTCACTTTGGCGCAAGCTCGCACTTTTACTTCAAGAACAGAGCGTTCGGCCTTACTAGCTCTAACTAATATTGAAGCGTTTCTTTTTGTGACATATTCTAAGACATTTGTTATTTTCTATAATGACTTTCCTCAGTTTTAGCAGTGAATTTACAAAAATTTTAAACTACTAACGAAATGCCAGTTTGCGAGATTGCAACCTGCAAAAATTCTGATAGAAAAACAAAAGGAAAAAATATAATTTTCCGCGTGTTCCCTAAAGTAAATGAACAACTATGTAAAGAATAGATTCCGAAATGACACGGTTAATATAAAATGAATGGCGGGTGAAAAAAATTAAATAATGGATAAAGTCAAAGAAAATTAAGGCGTAAATAAAAAGTATAAATAAAATATATAGTGTATAGTTGAAATTTTCCTAATTTCATAAAATATTTTTTAATGTAGTTATTCTAAATATTTATGACTTTTTTAAAAAATTATATTATCTTAAATTTAAATAT